CTAAATCTATGGGTAAACTTTTAGAGGAACGGCAACGACGTCAGATTGAGTTAAATAATCAGGAGTCGAATACAAATTTCGAGGTAATTTAATTGATTATTTAATAAATAAAAATACGAATGCTAATTAGACCTTCTTAATATAATAATATGAAATAGGAAATCTCAAACGATAAGAATTCAAATGTTCAAATTAAAGATTCTAGCCTGTCATTATTAATAAATTCCGTAAGTACTTTATATGAATTAGAGGTTTTGAATTTCAATTAATATTAAAATATTCCACTGTTATAGGTAAAACGAAAGAGTGCATTAGCTACCGAAAGCAATCAAAAAGGAAAGCGTAGAAAAACCAAATCTTAAAATTTTTAAAATCAATTAGATATTTGGTTAACTTTTGATATTAAATTATTTACATAATAAATTAATAATTGTAACAAAAACTTATATTATAATGTAAAATATATTTTCCAATTTTCGATTTTGATTGGCGGGTTGGGTTCGCCGTTTTTCTAACATTGAATGGTAAATACGCAAAAGCTAAGATATGAAAGTCCTTTACGATTTTTATTAGGGATGGTCGTGACCTCAGGTATTATGATGAAAAGTTTTAAAGTTAATAAGTAAATTTATTAAGTAGATGCTTTGTTATCGCATCAAGATTTTTACAACTCGCCTGCCGGCTTTTGCAAATGTGAAAGCTATCCTATTTATACAAAATTTTCGATTAACTTATACTCAATTAGATTAATCATTTTAATATTAATATATTAATTCACTACGAATTTTCTTTTTATACTTTATAGTATCCAGTCTTATAATAGAGCTATTTAATATATATGATACTATAGCATTTAACTTTTATTATAATTGGATTTAATAATAAAGAAATATAGTTGATTATTTTCTAATAACTTCTATAATAATTTAAAACAAAATAAGAAAAGTATATTCAAATTTACTCAAAATTTATCCTTTTAGAAAGGGTATCATTAAATAAAAATTCTGTAAATATATAACATTAAATAAAGTTTTTTGAAAATATCTTTATTTTATAGTTAAATTTAATAAACATACTCATTTTTTATTAAAAATTTTTATGTTTATTTGATTATGATATGATTTATAATGATTATAAATAATAAAATTATAATATAAATAATTTAGTTAATAAAAAACTTATAATAACAAATAATATAAGTTTAAAAAATTATGTAATAAAAATAAAAGATAATTGATATATATTCTATTAACTTTTACTATTTATAAGTTCTTTATTGAAACAATTTTTATAAAACAGAAATAACCAATCCAATTTAATGCTATGAAAATAAAGCTACAGAACATAGTTCAAAAAATTGGAGAGTTAGAATCTGAATTTGACAAATATAAGAATGATTTTTTTTTAAGAAAAATTTTTTGTTAATAAATACATCTATGTTTAAATTCATATGTGTATAATATTTTTATTTAATTTAGGATATCCACACATTAATGAATTGTATAGAACAGTTATAGATACATTATTACCTTTAAATGATGATCAAAAATGTTTTCATTTAATTAATGGAGTATTACTCAAATGTATTGTGAAAGATATATTACTAGCTTTGCAACAAATTATGATTGGGGTAATTTGTATATACATTCTTTTAGATTTATAATTAATTTTTTAAAATCAAAAGGTATGCATTTATAAAAAATAAATAATTAAAAATTATAAAACTTTAAAATTTAAATCAAAGTATTCATTTAAAAGGATTATGCAAAATATATATAATACATACCTTTATAGAAAGTTAATACATTTATAAAAGAGATAACTGTATTTAATTTATAAAAATAAAGGTTTTAGTAAATTAATATTACTTTATTAATAATAAATTCTTAAAAGTTATTAATAAGCAAATATGAATTATTATTTTATTTTTATTTTATTTTTTTTTTTTACATATTAAATATAAATGATAATAATATATATTATCTTATATTTATATTAAATTATGTTAAATTAATCAAATACATCATTTTCAAATTTCTAAAATAAATTCCTCATTCTTGTAAAATTTTGATTTTCAAGAATTTGAAAAATCAACAGATCAATCAAGAGATTATAATTTACGCGATAATATTTTCTTTTCTTTAAATACTTTGGCATGGGGAAACTTCTTGAAAAGATCATAGTATTTAAAGTCACATGATATTTGAGTAACATTCTGATTTTTGCCGAGTTAGGTTAGATCTAATAAATCTAGCTGAAGAAAAATCTATTTGTAGATACCCTATATTTCTCTTATAAACGCGTTATAGTGTCAAAATGGCAAGTGCGATACCAGGAGGATTACAACAACCATTACAAGGGATGTCCTATAACAGCCCTTCTTCTAAAGATCTTTTTCGCTTAGCTAATATTACGTATCAGCCACAAACAGAAGTATCACCTACTTATGTTGCGGACATACTTAGCAAGGCTACGACGACTTTAATGACAAAGCTTACGTTCACATTCTCAATTATTGATAAACCACAAGGTATTTATACGTTTGATCTCCAAATTATAAACAAACCCCACTTTAAAATATGCTGTACCTGTTTTATTTCATACAGAAGGACAGATATACCTCATATCTCTAGCTCCAAACGCGGTGGAAATTCCATCAGATGGGTATGTACCAAAAGTATGTTTTCACTTATTTGATAGAATACATTGATATATATTTTTTAAAAATAATCTGTATTAAATGATTTAATTTTCAATTTTTATTCTTAATTTAATGAAAAGTTATTATTATTTGGATAATGAACGAACTTCTAAAACAATGCTGCCGGATGGAAGGGTAATCTTGCACCCTTTGGTATTCTAAAAGTTTAAATTACATATCATTTTGTGATTCTAA